TTGCTGCTAGTGAATTTTTATCGAGGATAAAGAAAGCTTTTTGAAGATGTAAAAGTGTTTGTGAGATTTAAGTTATACAGTGGACTTCAGCACCCTAAATAAGTGTGAATTTACTAAAAACTTTCACAAACTGGGCAGCTTTTTTCAGGAAAAAAATCCATTGAACCAAAAAGAGTTAAAGTAGCTGTCATAGCTGATTGTCACGCTTAGTTTCTTTGCTTTTTAAAAAAACAAAAAATAATTTGGCAAAACATAAAAATGATTAGTGAAAATTACTGCATTGCACTGAAAACAGAAGCAAGCAACAGGTGGAAGCAACAGGTTGTCAGGTGCTTAGAATAACAAAAAACAAAAGAGAATACTATGAATATTTAATCAAAGTAACGTAATACGTCAACAGGAAGAGAGCATCTGTCATGCGGTGATAATCCAAAGAATAAAGCATTCACTACAAGTTCTAAAAATACTCTCAACCACATGGTTTGCATCTAAAAATGATGATGATGATGATCGAGAGAGCACACAGAAAAACTTTATCTAGCTTAGCCATCTTGGTAAGGTAAATCTCGCCAATTGAATTGTGATTTTGGTTGTAATCTGCTTTGAGTGTGTCGGGAATACAACACGGCAACAGCAAAAAGCAGGCAGCGTGACAAAATCTATCGATCACTTTTTTTCTGTTTAGATAGAGTGAGGAAGATAGACTCTAGAAGAGGTGAGCTGACAAATCAAGTGGACACACTACCACCTGCAGTTTCACCTGGGAACAAGACAGAGGGAACAAAAGCTGATCTCTGTCCTGGTGAGCGCGCTACCAGACGACATCGCCCAGAAAGCGGCAAACGACAAACATCTTTGCACATTCTCGCCTTCTTATGCTATACTGTTTCTATTTTTAAAAAGTAAATAGAAAAAAATTCATATAATGACAAATCGACGACTTGGTCGGCAGCGGTCGAAAAAAGCTAAAACAAGAAGCTCTCTTGTGCAAATAAAAAACAAGTCGAGAAGAGGATGATGACCACTTAATGCGTAATGCAAATTCCAGCGTTTGAAAATAAAAATTCTGTTTGAAAAAATGTCGCATCAAATGATGAAACTGAATCAGTTAGAAACTAGACAACTGACTAATAAAAGAATTTGTAGTGCAAATTTTTACAAATCAACATCAATTTCTAGTAATGCAATTGTTCAAACAAAAAATCGGCAAAGGTCACTGTCCAGCAGCATGAACTGCAAGGATATTACCACCGATTGTGTTGTCTAATAGCTGCCAAATGGCGTACATATCTAAATACTGCCAAGTCTACTGTCAATGGCAGTGAATGGTGTGAAAGTGCATGATGTCCGTTTGACAGCAGCAGCAGAAGAATGAAAAGGATCGCCAGTATTTCGACAACTTGTGAACAAAGTAAATAGGCAGCAGCTTGGTGTGAGTTAGGCGGACAATCCTAATCAAAGAAAAAATGATGTTGCAGACACTTTGTATAGCAAGTGTGAAAAACGACATGGACAGGAGAAAGAGACGAGATTAGAAACAATGAGACACTAACATCATAATAAGTCATTAATAAATGGATTTAGAGGTAGAGCGCCCAAACGGGTTCACTCACCTGCACACTTTTGTTGAGGTAATAAATAGAACAACAGTGGCAAAATCATCTATTGATGCTGGTGCGATTTCAGTGTCGTTATTAACAATTTTCATGTTCATCTTGTTGCCGTAAAATTGTGCCAAATTGAAGAGTAGGCTAAAGTGCCGCTATAAACTAAAAATGTCGGTAAAAATTAAGTTGAACAGGAGCATCTGTTGAGAGGTAGATTGAACAGCAATGACTGATTGCCGCAGCCGCAGCCAATTGCCAGAAAGTGCATCTACTTTCCCTCACTCACTTACTGAGCACTAAAGTGACATGTCGATCAAAGTGTGTAAAGTTTAATATAACAGGCTGAGCAAAAAGATGAGGAAAAGAAAAGGTGGAATTTAAACGGGCAAGGCTACGTAGAAAAATGTAGGCTAGCCAGGCAGAAATGGTAGCACATTGTGTGCTGGTGGTGGTGATGGTATGAGCTTTTGAAAAGGGATGGTAGTGCTGGTGAAGAAGAAGAAGGTTAAGAAGTTGATGAAGAAAACGAAGTGAACACACAAACGCACACACGTGAAAGGGCAGCCAGTGAGTGTCTGAAAATAGCCGTAGTATACAGCTGCCACCTCTTCAGAAGCTACCACAGTACTACAAAAAGAAGAGTGCTCGATGTTTAATTGACGAGGATACTCAAAGAAGAAGAGGAGGAGGAGGACGTGTTCGGTGTTTTCGCGAGTGCTCATCCTCGCGGCCATTGAACACACCGATTAGGCGCCCATTCAGTCAGTGCGGGCAGCAGCAATGATCGGCCCGGGCAAGTCAAGTAGCCAAAAGAACTCATTGAAGGAGCAATGAGCAGACTGTGAGTTCAACACACAAACATTCGCAGGCGCATCGATTGCCAGTCCAGTTAATGTGTGAGTGAGTGTTCTATTTCCAGACGACTGTGAAAAGAAGGTACGACGACTTTGCATAGCAATTTGTGTTGCCGCGCACGAGCTGCCTATTAGTCGATTGATTACCTGAACTGCTAGTGTACATGATGCGGATGGTGATGATGATGACGGTGGTGTTGATGGTAATAATGCAGATGATCACGGTGATAATGAAGCAGAACCACAACGAGCGATATTGCCAACGGGGAACTAATTTATTGCCCGGTGGATGATGTAGTAGAGGTGCTGGTTATGGTACAAATTGACATGAAGTTCAGATGCGCCCAAAAAAAGTCATTTTCCGGGCTCCTTAAGTTTTTGCAGCGTAGATTTGGGTAATTTAAAAAGTGATTGTCGAGTGAAAAAAAATCAATAAGCTAAAAATAATAAAAATAAAGATGACTGGTCAATTTTAAAAATGATGCTTTTGAGAAAGTGTAAATAAGATTGCCATCTAATAGTCTGACCATTTTGTATCTTTCCTGATCAGTAAAGCATTCTACCTGTAGTGTTTATAAATATTACCAGATCAACAGGGTGATTTGTCCATTCACAAATAGACCAAGTCACGAAGCTGATTGGGCCTCAATCTAGTTGGCAAATAAAAACATTAAAGACTGACTTTTGTTTTATCCTTCATCTGCTTGTTTCGCATTACACAAGATTAAACTCAATAGTAAACTTACACACTTAAGATGGCTTGATACTTGAACCGTGTCGATATGGACCGACCAAAACTGTAGAGGACATTCCCAGGCACAAACACACACAACCACAACAACAGAGAAACAATGGGTGCAATGATGATGATGTAAGAGAAAGATGTACTGATCTGATGAAGATGCGAAAGAAAGAGCATAAAAGTGGTCTTCGAGCAATGCTCAACACAGAAAAGAATAGACAAACGCCCACACATAAAGTAGTAGGAGAAAAGTGGTAAACACATGTAAAAAGCCCGTGTGCAAATTGATTTATCGCCAAACAAAAAGCACGGCTCTTTTGTTGCTAACAAGTTTGGTAGTGAAGTGTTCTCTCTTGGGGAATGATACTCGTTTTCCTCCTTCTTATGCCGAGGTTGCCCTTTACTGCTACTAAATATGATCAGCTAAACACAATTTGAATCACCTCTCAGCAAAATACAATTGAATGCATCATTTGAGTAGTCAGCCAGACACACACAATCCTCCCTTGTCTTGTCTTGGAAAGCTGCACCAACAGCTGTTTTGCTCAAACCTGCAAGCAAAGGGAAGAGAGTCGCTATAATAATCTGGCAATTATGCAAAGTCCTGAGCAGTGAAACTGAGAAGATGATGAGTCGCCAGTGAGGATCAACAACTGAAGACAAACACGTTGGCATGATTATATGGTAATTGACTTGGCACAAGTACAAGCAACAACTCCAAATTGAGTGCGACTAGGTGGACTAGTTCTATTTACAGTGAGGGGTGCGATTAGTCCGGCTATTATTTACACACACACAAACACTAATTTGCATACATTTGAATGAACTGAGAATCAATTAGCAGTGAAAAGTGATGTGAAAGAAGACATCAATAGGGGCAATTTGAATTAATCAAATGGACATGCTTGGGGTCTGATGTAAACTGGTCACATCCTAAGAAAGAGGCAATTCAATTACAAGTGAGTCTCTCACCCTCAGACAGGTAAAAGATAAGTTAATGTACGACGGGTTGGATAATGATGAGACGATGATGATGAACAGTTGAACGATCAACTACAAATTTAATATCAGTCGTCTGTGAAAGTACAAAAAATTGAAAAAAGTTTGCTGATGGGCAATCGATAGAATGAGTTTCCGAATAATCTTTGGTAATGAGGGTTCAATGAGAAAACAGAAAAGGTCATTATGGTGAGAAAAAGTGCAAAATGAATGTCATAATCATTAAAAGGAAAACTTGAAAACAAACTGTCTTCTCAAAGCACTTTCCATTATGTTGTTAAAAGTAAGTTGATTGACAAACAAAAACTACAGCACTCAGAAAGTGTAATTATTAAATCAGTTACGTGATGCATGCAGATTATGTCTTCAAATTACTAAAATCAATATCACTCACTGACATGGAGAGGCAGAAGGTTTTCATTGTGATTGGCTGTAATGCAGCACTAAAAGGTTACACTGGGCAATCATTGCATCTGCCGGTCAGAGAGTCAACTTGTTCAAATTGAAAGTGACATTGAAGACTGAGGTCGACTGAGATAATTTGAGACTTTTGTTTTGCAAATTAGTGGAAATCAGCAGACTGGTGCATTTGAACTTTCCCTGATGGTGAAGGAAGCACTTTTACTAAAAAAATTAAAATTGAAACAAAAAGCTGACAAAACAGTTCAGGCAATTAGAAAAAAGTTCCAAATTAGAATATTGCAAAAATTGCATCGTCATAGTGCACTGCTGTCAGTCGCTGAGTTGTCATTTGCAGGTTTGCATCCAAGTAAAACGGTCCTATCTCCATCGTTCACCATGAGCCGTGAATCAGTGACCGTGAACCCTGCTGCGAAGCGCATCGAGAAGGACCTGGCCAAGTTCAAGGCGGACCAGGCCGCTCAGGCAATGTACCACATTGAGCCAGAGAGTGAAGATGACATCTTCCAGCTGAAGGGCTACGTCTACGGACCGCCGGACACTCCCTACCAGGGCGGTGTCTTCCACCTGAAGATGACAGTGCCCAACGACTATCCCTTCCGTCCTCCGGTCTGCAAGATGACCACCAAGGTGTGGCACCCCAACATTGGTAATCGGTATAGCCCTCTGTCTGTCCATTTCAAGCTGACCATTTCTCCCCCCCCCCTTTTCAGGCGAAGCAGGCAGCATCTGTCTGGACACTCTGAGTGGCAAGTGGACCGCCGCCATGTCCATTCGCACGGCGATGATGAGCATTCAGGCGCTGCTCAGCACTCCCAACTCCGACAGTGGCCTGAACGGCACGGTGACCTACCTGATGAACAAAGACCGAGAGGCATACCAGAAGACGGCCACCTTCTGGACGTACCACTACGCGGTGGTCAACAAGACCGAGCAGATGATGGCTGACAATGCTCCAATGGAAGGTAGGATCTGGGGAAAGCAGTAGTTCAATAAGGTCTTATACACAATTTTCCATTTCTTCTAGCCATGATCAGTCAGGTGATGGCGCAAACTGGCATCGGTTACGAGGAAGCACTAAAGTCTCTCTCCTACAATTGCTGGAAGATTCCAGAGACACTCGCTGCTGTTGATCGACGCGCCAAAGTCAAGGTGGCTCGTCGCTAAAAGGCCCCTCCCCCTCAATCTTACGCTGACGTATTTGTCATTTATTATCGCCACTTAATTATTTTTGTACAATTGTTTTGCACAGATTTTCAAAATAAAAGAAAATTTTCAATTGAAACATTACGAGATGTAAATAGTGAAAGATTAGAGATGAGATAAAAACAAAGGCTAAAAGTGAAATGTAAACATCTGCTGATGGTGTGTGTGTGAAGGGGAAGTAGGTCGAGTCGTGCTGCAGCTGCTGCATCAACACCACCAAAAGATACTCACAATCATCACTAAAGGGATTAGCATTTAAAAATGCCTGCAATTGCTTTTTGTTTTGAATGAATTCTAAAAATACAAACTTTGCTAACTTGATATTGTCTGCCACTGTCTGCAAACTAAAACTGAATTTTGCAACTAAAAAACTTTCTAAATTCAAGTCGATTTTAAAGACACAAAATGTCAACAAAATCATGCCTCTGATACAGATTTCTAAAAGCGGCAACTGTAAATTAGCCGGTGATTGACGCCACTTTTTGAAGGCACTTTTGGTGTCCAAATTGAGGGGGGAGGAGAGGGAGAGTGTAAAGTTGGCTAAATTGCACAGCAGCCCAACACTTACTCTGGAGCAACTGTTTAGGGTGAGTGGAAAATATGGGTTCAATCATCAGCGATCGAATTATATCGATTGCAGATCGAATGCAGACACGAAAGACCAAATGCACAGTGCCTTCGACTCTCTTTTTAACGGAGAGGCACACGATCAGACGATCGATCATATTAAAAGCGAGACGAGGTAGGCGCTACCTCACCTACTCTGCCTTCTCTTCCTTCTCTCTTTCTCAGAAGCTTATGGTCGTGATAAATTGCAAAGATGCGTGCTTCGTGAGCCGGGTAAATGGGAAAGTGTCAGTGTGCACAGGTAGACGAGAAAGGGCTACCGACTTTGAGGATGCCAAGTGCCGGTTAAAGTGTGTGTTTTTAATAATTTGTAGTTCAACAAAAAAGGGAGAGTAAAAAATTAGGCCACTTCATATCCATCGGATCGCTTGATCAGCAGCGCCTGTTCATTCAAGTTGTAGATTGCATTTTGGATTACCTTCGGATCATGATTTCCTTCGATGTACTGCAGGCTCAGTTCCACAATTTCCTCGACTGTGAAACGTTTCTTTTTAAAGTAGCTGGAAGCATTGCAGATGACCTGGTACAAGTCTTTTGGCCTCAAAACACCTTTTTTGCTGTTTGCTCTCTTGGTTATAACTGCAAAAAAAGAATAAGTTAAATGTCTAGTGAATGACAAACAAAAAAAGCTTACCAGGCAAAGATAGTTTAGTCAATGCCATGGACTTTTCTAAAATGTCCAGAACCGCTTGGCCGTCCTCGTAGATCACAGTTTGACGCATGTAAAGCTTTGCATGTGCTTCAATTAGTCGACAAACGGTTTCGTAAACGCGAAGAAGCGACAATTTGTATTCTGAGCGTTCAAGTATTTCTGTGCTGACGAATTGCTGAATATTTTTCTTCAAATCATCATCAATTGTTGGGTGAACAATCTCATTGCAGTATGAAATGTATTTACGAATGAGTGGCAGTGAAAGCAGTTCATTAGAATCATCTTGCAGAATTTTTTCGCCTCCATAGAGCTGGCCACTTTGATGGAGTTCAACCAGACTTTCAAAGTTTGCTGATGCTTGAGAAACTCTTGATTTTCGAGCTTTTGCTTTTTCCATTGACACTTTGTGCATTCGGTTCTTTTCAATCTGGTACTCCAACAAATCATTTTTAGAGTTGTTGTCTCTCTCATTATCTACGAGAAAAATTAAGTCAAATGTCGTAACCAGATCCGGTTGAATTCGGGTGTTCTTTTCAATTAGTTTATCGAAATGGTATTCAGCAAATTGAAGATTTGCAGTGGCTATGATTGAAACTTTGGAAGGATGAAAAGCGACTTGACCTCTTGAATCTCGAACGCCAATTTTCTTGTGATCGATTGACTGTTTAACAATCTGCTGTTGCAGTTTCCCCATCTTTTCCAGCTCGTCTAAGCAAATAATTTCTGAAACAAAACATTAGCAACTGTAATGATTTTTTAAACAAAAACAAACTTTTTTTGTCGCAAATAAAAGCCGCATCAGGTTCATCCGGCAAACACTTTCTCCGCTTGGTATTGGTTGCGATGAGTTTGAGTGACGAGCAGCTGCCGACTAGATAACACGACGTTTCGTTCATCAGTGAAGTTATGCTCTTGAGAATTTGATTCTTCTGCGAACAACGACTTCCAAGAAGGAGCACATGTATGTAATCACGCACGTGAACGCACTCGCATTCTGGATCAAACTTTTCTGTTCCACCAAACAAAGATAGCACGAGCCCTTTCTTGATTTGATCATTTCCAGTGATATTGGGAAAAATGGAATCACACAGCAGCTGAAACAGATCAGGAACTTGGCTGAGGATCTGGAACAAAAAACAAACATAAGTTGAAATGTTGAAAATAACACTAAACAAACCTCAAAAATCTCCACCAGAGTTTCGCTGAATCGGGAATCAGTAACTGAGTCACTCGGTTGGGAATCCTCGAAAAAGTCCATGATCAGATTTCGAAAAAGTTTTTATCTCCGTCAAAAGAGACCGCTGCGGCGGTTTTAACGCCACTATTTCGACCGAATGCGTTTGTGTTCACTACCAGACACACCGGTGGAATTAGCCACTTCAGTGACAAAGCAACATTTCCAAGCCGTGTGTTTTCTTTACTTCTGTCAATTTGAATCACTCCGAACTCCTTCTCGGCAACCAAGATGTCTCTTCCCGTAAAGGCCCAGAATATCGCCCAAGAAACGGTGCAGTACGCTAAGAAGGCGAATGCCGGCGAGCAACAGGACAAACTCAATCCTGCCGACAGTTCAAACCCGCAAAAGTCGGTGCTTCTTCATGGGTAAGGGATACGATTCCGGATTCAATCGGTTCTTTCTTTAAACGCCAATCTATCATTTTCTCCCTGCAGCTTCTCATCTGTGAAGCAGCAAGCTTACGGCAGCACACCGCTGGAGAAGCTGGAAAAGTCGGCCTTTGACCGCGAACAGTACCGCAACATGACGATGCTCCGATCGGTGCAAGGCATCCATGCCCCGCTTCGTCTTCTCGCCGAACGCAAGGCCGCTTCACATGTCGGCCACTTGCCGTTCCTGCCGCGCTCCAACTTGATGCTGGACGTGCTGGAAGGTCGCGACGAAATGATCACCCCAAATGAGATCTTCAACGGTAAGCCCCTGGCCCAAATTGCAGAGCATAAAAATAGTAAACACCACTAAACACCTGATTCCCTCCTCTTTCCAGATCCTCGAGAGTTTTGCGAAGTTCAGCTGCCTCCTCACATGACCATGGAACGACAGGCTGGTATTCTCTAGGAGAATCTCCAGATCACTCACACACACAGCACCCGTGATTGAAGGAAAATGAAGCTCTCTGTAATTTATACAAATGATACATTTTTATTTCTAATAAAACGCATCTAACGTCTTACACCAAGGAATCAATAATCACCAATAATCTTACAATAAATCTTCCGTTGAGACAAGAGTGACAGCCACTGAAGCAACAGATCAGCAAAACTACCAAAGTCTCCAGCTCCAGTTGCCTTCGCCCAGGTGGTGAAGAGAACGCTGCGGCACCCAGTCGAGGAGGATCTCGTTAAACTTTTTGCGCTCTGCAGAGTTTTTGTCAGTGTTTTAGATGTTTGAATAACAAGGGGACAGTAAACACACTTACCGATAACAGGAAAGTCCTTTTCGTGGAGAATGGCGTAGTGAAGGAGAACGTTTGTTCGTTTATTCTGTCGCTTGATGTTCCACTTGTAGAGCTCTCCCATGGCCAGCGCTCCCAGGGGAGCAATCATGAGGCCTGACAGAATCCCCTTCAGGTATCGACCGTGCACTATTTTGTTTCCCAGCACTCCTGCGGTGAACATGGTAAGGCCGCCTATGCCGTAGGCGAGGGCAAAGTTCATCTTCAGCTGATCAGGGTTCGGCCCGTCGATGAAGGCCAGCGGCTCGGCGACGGTGTACTTTGGGCCCAGACGACTGAGACCGCTGAAGTGGACGTTCGGATCGAAGGAGTCCTTCTTCGCCTTCAGCTCTTGAAGGCGAGCTCTCACCTCTTCAATGGTACGGTAGTCCACATCGGTGGGCACCTCTTGACGGCCCTTCACGATTGGGTTGCCCGGCTCCACCGTCGGATAGCCATCCTCGTGCCAGAGTCTTCCCATGGCTCTTGCTGGGGATGATAATGATGATGTTGTTTCGGTGGAAGATAAACGGAGCACTTGAAAAGTAAACTAAGAAAAAACGGAGAACCCGACCACCAGATCACAACAAACAACCGGGCATCAGCGTGAAGCGGCAGTGGCGCCCGAAAAGGTGGGCGCTACGGTGACGAGTCGGTGCGCCAGCGACCATCGCCCACTGGGACGCTTTCATTGTCTTGCAGGTGGCGACCAGTCTACGAATGACCCATTTGTGGGCTCTCGCGGAGGTTGACCTTCTTCTAGACACGCCACGCTCAAGGGCATGGGTGAAGATGGCCAACAGAGGCCGCTTTTGCTTAACTCCTAATGATCCTATGATGATCCCAATGATTACCAGAGATTGGTAGTACCCTCTGGTTAGTACCTCTGTCCAGAAAAGAGAAATCAGTAAGCATGTCCAGCAAAATCAGCGAAAAAATGAAATTTTAATGAGATTTGAAAATGAAATGTCTACGACAAACACACAAATCGAACTGAATGAAACGTTATCTATTCACACAAAAAAGGAAGTGGTTGTGGTGGTGGACCGGGAAGATGGTGGTGACGGGTATTACACACCGACTTCCTTCCAACCAAAGGTGCTGGGCACGCGCTTCTGCTGCTGTTGGTTGGTGTTGTGTGTGCTGTGGTTGTTGGCTGTGTTTGTGTATGAGAGACAGGTTGGGTAAATGAAGTCCAGGGGACAGTCCAAATACAGGTGTGTATGTGTGTGAGATAGTTACAAAAATAAAATACAGCAAAAAAGAGATGTTAATCATTAAATAAGAATAGGGTAATATTCAATGATATTCAAAATAAGGAAGGTAAACATTTTGTGTTGTTTTCGATTGTGTGTGTCATTGAAATTAAATTGATTTCCAAAGATAGAGAGAATAAAGATTGAAAAGCGATGAGTTCATTGTTTGAAGGATGAGACCGATTTGATCAAACTAACTAATGGGCTGAATGACATGATGTTGAAGTTAGTTCTTCGATAGAATGCTTAATCGGAATCGTCATCATCGTCGGATTCATCGTCGTCCTCCTCCTCCTCGGACGACTCGACCTTCTTCACGGGCTTGGCCTTTCCCTTGGCACTGGGAGCCGGCTTGCCCGAAGATTTGTATGCCTTCAGCTCCTATTGAATGAAATTAATGTTAGCAAAGCGAGTACTTTCATGTAAACACACAACAGTCGTCTTTACCTTCTCGTAGCGAGCCTTGTCCTTGGCAGCAAGAGCCTCGTACTTGGACTTCTGGTCCTCGGTGCACTCGTTCCAGCGGCGGCCGAGCTCCTTGGCGACATCGCCAACGGTTGAGTCGGGCATGGTTGCCTTCACCTTGGAACGCTCGTCATTGCAGAACCAGAAGAAAGCCGAAAGTGGGCGCTTGGGTGCGTCAGGGTCCTTTTGGCGCTTCTTCTTGCGGCCCTCACCCTTCTTGGGCTTGTAGTTGGCCATCTCGGACTCGTAGCGCTTCTTGTCCTTGTCGGCTAGCTGGTGGAAGCGGTGCTTCTCCTTGTCATTCATGGTCTACAGAGCAACAGGAACCCAACACATTGTTATTAGCAAATTGATAGCGCTTGAAAGAGATAGTCAGATATTACCTTCCAGCGCTCAGAGCACTTCTTCGAGAACTCGGCAAAGACGACACTCTCACTGGGGTGTTTCTTCTTATGCTCTTCGCGGCAGGTCTGCACGAAGTAAGCATAGGCCGACATGCGGCCGCGCGGCTTGTCAGCGTCCTTGGGCATGATTCGCCGGTTGACAATTAGCGATTGAAGTACGGGTCAATTAAGTGGACTGTAGAGGAGAAAAAGGCAATGTTACTTTGATGATCACTTTGCGATGACAAAACAAATTGCGACGAGTGAAACTAGAACAAAGACTATCTGCTCATACACCGCAGAGAGAATGAAGAGGCAGAGCGCGCCAAATCTTTCCCGGCAAAAGAAGCGCGCGCGTTCGCAGCAAAGGCAACCTGCACACAATGGAAACTCAATGACGGTCGGACAGAGAACTAACAGGGAGAATTATTAACTGGTAAAAAGTGCAAAGTCAAATACCCAAAGAGGCAGATGATGGCAAGAGATGAGACCGACTGACTGCTTGTCTAGACGGTACCCTGCGAAATAAGGCAGCGAGAAAAGCCGAAGCAAGACAAAGTGGGGACTTGGAAAATGGGCGCTTATTAAAGCAGAATAGCAGAAAGGGGATCCCTAGGCAAGGCTATACAATGGGGATACATTGAAACACACGGGCACATATAACTTACGAGGCAAAGGCAAGCTACGAGCAGAGACGTCGATTGCCAGGCAAACTGCTGCAAAGCCAGCAATGGTCGTTGGCAGAATGTATGGAGCAGGCAAAAAGCCCGTAGAGTAGTGCTAAGCTTTGTTCGCCACTGGAGTGGTGCAGCGCTTGCTGCGGTAGTTTTTGCGCCTGCGAACGAGCCAGCCGTTTGCACTGCAGAGACGCCATAAGAAGCAGGCAGGCATAGCACATAGGCATAGCATAGGCATAGCCTGGCCATCCAGCCAGTCTTCCATTGCTTTGTGCGACTGCGGCAAAAGCAATGGCGCTTGCCCGCCCATTGGAAAGCACAGAGCGCTGGCAATTCAACGGCAAACGCATAGACGCTTATGGCGATGGTGGTCTCGCTGATCAGAAGATTGGGGAACACTGAGGCTGCCGCCGCGCGAAGCGCTGGATAATTTGAAAGTATTCTAGCCCAACTCTGATTGGCTGCTAGCGGGTCTGCGCAAGAGAGTACGCGGGTTTCAAATTTGCGAGGATGTACTTTCTGATTGGCTACAAGACGGCGGTTGGAAAGAAGGAGCACTCGTCACAATGGCGGCGGCAACTTGCCGGCCGGTGAGAACAGGGCCCAGAAAACAGTGCCCCCAAACTACCTGACCTGTCAAGGGAGGGCACAGGGGCTGCCCAAGCCTCCTTCTCTGATCTTGGAAAGAGCCTGACTTTTAAATGCAACAAAGGTGAAGTTAGAAAAGGGAACATTGTTGACAATCAGCAACTGTCAAAATTGGGGATTCTGGTTCGAAAAGATGAAGGCGCTGAAAAGGTTCGCAAAGAGCGTAACAGGCCTGTTTGTAAATCGACCAGGACGATTGATTTCTACATGTACACTGGTAGACAAATGTCAATGTCCTACGGTATCAACAGACAACAGAGCACGACGCAACGAGGACAACCAGCGCGACGAGAAGGGGAAGCAAAACAAAACCGAGAAGTTTGTTTGGCAAACAGTGGTTGTAACTGCTCAATGGTCGGTCTTAATGAGGCAATCTGTTGAAAATCGGGTCTTTGTACAGCCTGGGAACAGCAAGAGAAAATGACAATAACCGGTTCGATTTAGACGGTTCGCAACCGACAAAGCTTCACGATAATGAAGTAAACAAGTCACTGCTCGCAAGTGCAACTGCATTTAGAAGCAGCAGAGGTTGCACCAACAACAAAATAATGAGACGAAAAGCGCGCGCATCACGCATTCTGTCATGGTGGCGGTTGCGCGCCTAAAATTGATGTTCCTCAACTGTGAATCTGTTTTGTACTGTAACGTCAGAGCAAAAACGGTGGTGTAATGCAAAAACTTATCATCATTGCAATGTGTAAACAAACGGCAAAAAGCAGGCAGAATCGACTGCCATGATGATGATGCTGCTGCTGTTAGCAAGAAGAAAAAAATTGCGGGTGTAATACTTTTTGGACACTAAGCAAGAGGAGGAGGATATCTCGCCTAATCTGTGGGCACTATCTGGGAAGAAAATGGAGAAAAGTGGAGAGACAAAGATGGCGAAGGAAGGCAAACAAACAAATGCAAAAAGAAGAAAGGCAACAGTTTGCCGGTCAATCTAATCGCAGCATCAGCAACAGCAGGAAGATAAGACGAGGATAAAAGGAAAGGAGTACTTACCAGTTGAAATCCTTGGATGGATCGACGAAGTCGTCAGTGGTTGTGTGGTGTTCACCGGCTCGATGACGGCAGAGTTCTACCGGCAGTCCTAGTCCTTGTCAACGGGCGAGGTGATTCTCCTGCAGCGGCTGCGGCAGTCAGTCTACGGCAGGCTACGTGAGAAGCCACAGTGGAGAGGACAATGCATTTTGGCCGCTGCCGGCAGCCAATGAGCGCTGAGCATTGGAAAGCGGTCCGCAAATGCAGTGCCACCGGAGCGCCACTTTTGAACCGCCGGCGGAGGGCGAATTTTGGCTCACTTGGCTGCCTGAGCTTCGTTTTGCTATTGCTATCTCTTTCTCCATTGCCTGCCTGCCATCACCACCGTCCCGTAGGAAAACTGGTGGTGGAACCCTCGCAATTAGCTCTCGCCACTGCATAGTTTTTCAGGCTAACAATCAGGCACTCGAGAGAATGCTTCACCATCTTAAAGTTTTTTATGCGACAGTTCAAAAACACTTCATCTTCTATCTTGAGTTTTGCCCTTTTCAAGGAACTAGCAGGAGATTGCTGAGATTCTAGTGCTTCTTACTTAGTCAACAACTGTAGCGTACTTCACTGTAGGGAAGTTTTTGGGAAAAGAAGTGCTGGTCCTTGACAGTAAATTGAATCAAGAATTTTAGCTCAAAAGCGAGCGAATATTCAAATAATGGGAAACACCAGCGCCACGTGAGCAATCGATTATTCAGCCCAGCTTTTAGAACACGTCTACACTACAACCGGTAAAAGCGGGGCATTCAATTTGCCGTCTCATTTGCGCTGAAAATAACTGAATGCGAATTGTCTACTGGTGCGCCACTTTTCTCTCCATTTTTCTCTATTTGTCTTGGCCAGGTAAAGTGCATCGGCAAATCGACGCAGGCAGGCTGGCAGGCAAACGGCAGTCAGGTAGACACCGGTAGGCATTGTCCACCGGTGGACTCAGTCAGTTCAGTTCAGAGTGCGCGCTGAAAAGTTCGAGCCGACATTTGAAATGCTTAAATTGGAGACAGTCGTTGGCGGTAGTTATGATGGTGGTGGGTACTGTATTTGTGTCTCAGGCAAGTGTGTGAGCAAGTGAGTGAATGAGCCTCCAATTGCAGCCAGTGATGGCGGCGGCGGCGGTATCCTGGCAAACGAACCCGACTCGGAGGACAAGAGGACGACAACGACGACGGCTACTGCTACGGTGGTGATTGCAAAGATCGCACGGGGCAGCATTGGCGGCGGTGATGAGCTTGCCTGCCTGCCTGAAACTGCCACTGCCATTGCCAAACGAGCCATAGCCATCATCGGAATAGGCTGAGGAGGGTAGTTTTGGCGGCTGGCAGAAGCAGCAGCCTAAGCTGCTCGAGCAATGGCCAGTGGTTGAAGGCAAGCAGGCAATTGAACGATCGCAAAGAAGACTGACTGACTGCGAATTCGACAGAGCGACGCTAACTACCCCAGACAAAGTAGCTCAACTCCCCGGCAGATTGCTGGCAATTGCAGGGGCCCCGGTGGAAGAGAAGGCAAATCGAGCAGTCGAGTCCCTTCCCATCGAAAGTGGGCACTGCCGACCGTGTCTCACGTTCGTTACAGACCGTCGTCGTCGTCGTCGAATTAGCGGGGACCCTGAGCCGAGCTGCGAGAAATGTGGCAGGTCGAAGATGAAGTCAGTGCTGCCAGTGTGTATGCTCAAATGCTCAACGCTCGGTGAGGCACTCCCTGCACTTTTTTGCCTGTCTGCCTGCCTGGCCCTAGGGTCTGCTTTCTCTCTCTCTTTTTCTGTGAGGTTCTCCCAAACGTTCGCTCAAAGGCCAAATATACGCAGCAGAAACAGCAGCAGCAGTAGCGAGAACGGGAGACTTTGTCTATGCAAAAACTGCTGCCACTACTGCAAAGAAGGCAATGTAAAGGCAATGGAAATGGATGGCAGATTTGCTGGCAGCGTTCACGGTGACTCGACAGTGCCAGCAGCACCAGCACTGGCACCAAACAGCAGGCAGACATTGAGAGTGGTGCAATGGTGGTAGTGATGGCTGTGTGCTATGTGTGCCCTGTGTGCCTGCAGTTTCTCCTATGCTCGAGCTTCACTCAATGGCAGGAGAAGTGCACACTCGCTTCCTGAGCAATGGGAACTGCAATGGGAATCTCTCGACTAGAAACTCACTGCCATAGACTGCCATGTACTCAGCTTGTGCTTTCTGCAGTTTCTCTATGTGACTGTGGGCAAAAGTGGCTACCAACACTGCCAGCACTCTCTGTCGACCCTCTGCTGGCAAATGTAATGCGCCAGCAGAGGGCAATAGAGCAATAGAAAGAATCTATTGGACTTGTTTGATTCTAAAAGTGAATTCAATTAGAACGAAGGCAGGCAGCACTTACTAGACTGACCGACCTTCTAGGTGCTTTCTTCAGCAGCATTTTTCCGCCAGTGTGCACACTTCAGAGCTGACCACAACTTTGAAGATGCGTGTGTTTTAGCTGCTGCTGCTTCTGCTGTTGCTGACTGATGCGGGACCAAGAAGACAAGACACGAAACAACAAAGGTTAAGCTAGAGACATCAAGTGCTCACTGCACTCACACACACACACACGCACATCAGACAGCGACATAAGCAGAAAGAGAAAGAGAAAGGAACCTCATCGCTGCAGTGCTAAATGAACGTCAGAGAGTGAAAAGGAGGGAGAGGGAAAGGGAGACATTACGAGGACAAGAAGAGGAAAACGAGATGAGATGCTTCGGTTTGCGGCTCGTTGCCTGCCACTGCCTGCCTGCCGATGATGGCTGCTGCTGCTGCAGTTGGTTCGCTTGCTTGCCTGCTCGGATGGCTGGTGGTGCCTATGAAGTGCTATCCTATCCAGTGGCAATGGCGATGGCACACAGGCTATAGCAGCACAATGTAATGGCCGCCATAGGCAGGCATTGCCATCGCCATCGCCATGGCCTGCCTGCCTGCCTGCCTATCTGACGCTGATTCAGACTCACAGCGGCAGTTTGCATTGGGCGCTGACGAGCCGGCTGGCGCTGGCTGGCTGCTTCGTGGCAGACACTGCCAAAGACAGTGGCTCCCATTGGAAAGTGGATCCACTGGCAGGCAGTCAGGCAATGCTAAATGCAATGGCAAGTGTATGTGTGTCGGTGTGCAAGGCAGCAAGGCGCGACTGGCGCAATTGACAAGAGTACACAAAGTGGTGGTGGTGGTGCCAGAAGACACCAGCAGGCTTGACACTGTCACAGGGCTGCCAAATGAATGAACAACGCCGAGGACGGCTGCTGCTGTTGCCTGCTCAGTGTCTCTGGTGTGCTCTGGATAGTCAGTGGTGTGCCCGATTTCAGCCCCACCAGACAGACCAAGAGACTGAGTCGGAAAAAGAAAGAGTGCTCAGTGCTCCGTCCTAACTAAGTATCGAGTTCACTTAGGGAGAAGAAGAGTGAGCAGGAGCCCGAAAGAGGAGATTGAGTCCAATTTGATCAAGCCCCCGACCAGGCTGACGAAGCTGCCTCGGTGCCTGCTGAATGCAGAAAGATTTGAAGGAAGGAAAGAGTGGGTGAGCCAGCAGCACCAGCGAGTCGCTGGTAGTCCACCAGCCATGTTGCTCTTGCTCTCTCTCTCTTTCAGGCAAAGCCCGCGATTTGGCTGTCATCATCGTTTCAGTTCGATCAATTATTTCACTCGCCAGAAGGAGCCAAGGGGAAAAAGCGAAGGAGAGAGCAATTAATTGGCAACGACGGCGACGACGACGATCTATCGCCCCATTGCAGTGTGCCCATGCGGCACTGCTGCTGCTGTGCTGGCCCACCAGCACAGGCACCAGCACCAGCACCCGAACATGACTGCCGCACTGGCCACTATACCCGAGCAGTCAGTGAGAGTGAGTAAGCAGGACTTCCATTCGGGTTGTCCATTCTACCAGCCTGACAATTCTCGGTAGCTTTTTGGTAGTGCTTGTGTGTGTAGGCAGCAGCAGCAGCAGCAGCAACAGTGGCATTCTGCTTAATTGCCCTCCTCTGCTGGGTCACTGCCTAATCGAATTACCTTTTGCCATGTTCTCATTGACGTGTGTCTCCGGAGCGAACGGACGGGACACTTTGAGCTGCAGTGGCACTGGGTGCACTGGAGCCCATTGACGCCATCGACCACCGAACAAAAGCCGCCGCCGGTCAGCTCGGGAACAGTGAAGCAGTGCATGTCAGGGGACACTTTGCCGCTAAACTTGTCGGCTAAATGAGGCTTCCACCAGGGAGATAGCTGACTCGCACCGGAACAAAGTGTCAGTGCCGGATAAGGCGCCTTTGAGCCTACCGTTACTGCTGGCCACCGGCGAAATCAGTCGCAAAGACAGAGCCCGCCAAAGTTCCAAGAGCGCCGAGTCGTTTGTTTGCATTGCTTGTTTCGAAATTTTCCCACTTCTAAAGAGTGCCCACAGATGGTGCCTGCTGATATTTTCAACTAAAGAATTTTTTTGTTTTGAATTTTTGTCTTGTTGGAACAAAACGTAATCAGCGTTCTGTCATCAGCAAAAGTGTGATCAGCCTAGAGGATCTACCCTTTCGAAGACCATCTTCTTGTCATCACATCTGCACAGGTACTTCCACGTAATAAGTAATTAGCGTTCAGGCAGGTTTTAATTACTTTTTGCATTCATTACTTTTAGATTTTTAAGTGCGCCCATGGCCAAGCTTTCAAGTGCAATTGATGATTTTGGGCGTTTACTTTTGAGTAAGCTGGAAGCGGAAAATGCCGGCACCTCAAGGAATCTGCAAGTTTCGCCATTCGGCGTTGTCACAGTGTTGTCAATGCTGTCGAGCGGCAGTGCAACTGAAACACTAGAGGAAATCTGCAAAACACTTCAGTTTGATCATAAGAAGCTAGAATCCGATGTTTATGCGGCATTTGATGAAGCACTAAAGGTGGGCAATTTGTATCTTTATTTGACTCTAACCTCAGTTCGTTATCAAAATAGGCATTGCAACAACTAAAATCCGGTGCAAACAATGAGCTGCTAGTGGCCAATGCAATAGTCATTCAAAACAACTTCCCAGTTTTACCTAGCTTTTTAAAAGTAATCGAACAGTTCAACTCAAAGCTCCAGAATGTTGACTTTGAGAGCAGTGGCAAACATGCTGTTGAAGAAATTAACGGCTGGGTAAACGAGAAGACGCGTGGAAAAATTGAAAAGCTTTTTGATAATGAGCTCACACCAAACACCCGAATGGTACTACTTAATGCCATCTACTTCAAGGGAAAGTGGATGTTTCCATTTGACGAAAAGAATACCAGACCAGAGCCGTTCTATTACAGCAGCAGTGAATCAGTGGAGGTGCCAATGATGTATTTGAAACGCAACTTCAAATTCGGCAGCTTTGATGGAGCAGGAGAAGTTGTGGAGATTCCCTATGAGGGTGAAGACTTGTACATGTTGATATTCCTTCCTGTCCTCGACTGGACCAATAACAGCAGGAGCATCAGTGAACAGTTTAGCGATTTGATAAACAACAGCGGCNAGAATACCAGACCAGAGCCGTTCTATTACAGCAGCAGTGAATCAGTGGAGGTGCCAATGATGTATTTGAAACGCAACTTCAAATTCGGCAGCTTTGATGGAGCAGGCGAAGTTGTGGAGATTCCTTATGAGGGCGAAGACTTGTACATGTTGATATTCCTTCCTGTCCTCGACTGGACCAATAACAGCAGGAGCATCAGTGAACAGTTTAGCGATTTGATAAACAACAGCGGCACAGCGTTCCAAAGCACACTCAGACCACTGACGCTAGAGCTGCACCTGCCCCGGTTCACCATTCAGTGCAACTTGTCACTGAGCAGCAGCCTGCAACAGCTGGGCATCAAAGCCGCCTTCAGCCCCGCTGACGCCGACTTTAGTCGCATTAACAACGACAATGGTAATCTATTCCTCGCCGATGTGGTCCACAAGACGATGATCGAGGTGAATGAGGAGGGCTCGGTGGCGGCGGCTGTCACCGGCGCAGTGCTCACCAAACGCTGCCTGCCCTCTCAACTGCTGCTCAATCGGCCCTTCCTCTATGCCATTCGACACCGGCCCACCGACCTGACGCTCTTCTTGGGCGTCCTCAGTAAACCGTGATTGCTTGAAGTGCGGTTGTTGTGTGCAATTTATTTATTTGATGAAGATGGTGAAACAAAAAATATCACTGACAGTTATGTCATTTGAAGCATCATGATCATGATCTTGAGCTACAAGTAGAGAGAATCAACAACCAGTGTCTCTAGAATGTTCCAGCAATTGGCTGAGAGAATGTTCAGTGCACCATCGTAATTGATGCCTTTCTGAATCATCACTAGGTGGATCATGACTAAAGGTGGGAATAAATGATAGTGTACAAGCTTTTGGGTTACTACTTTCAGCAGCAGTAAGCCTACCTTCGAATGGAGCATTGTCAGTGATCATCTGCTCGGTCTGAATGACTATCGCATAGTGGTACGTCCAGAAAGCGGCCGTTTTCTGAAACACTTCTAGGTCCTGTTTCATGATGCAGGCCGCCTTGCTCATCAGACCACTGTCCATATTAGGTGAGCCGAGCAAATTCTGAATGCTCATCATCACTGTATGAATGGACATGGAAAGGTTCCACTCGCTTCCCAGAATGTCTTCCAAAATGATGTTGCCCAACTCGTCTATAGATAGGAAAAGATCATCAGTTTGATAAAAAAACAATATGAATAGAGAAACAGCCTACCAATGTTTGGGTGCCACACCTTTGTGGTCATGCGAACTGTTGGGGCACCTACGGGATAGNATCGTCTATAGATAGGAAAAGATCATCAGTTTGATAAAAAACAATATGAATAGAGAAACAGCCTACCAATGTTTAGGTGCCACACCTTTGTGGTCATGCGAACTGTTGGGGCACCTACGGGATAGCTCTTGGGCAATGATATCTTCAGGTGGAAGATTCCATCCTGGTAGGGAGTGCCAGGTGGTCCGTGGACGTAGCCCTTCAGTCGGAAGAAGTCACCCTTGCTCTCCGGCTCAATGTGGTAAAACGAGTTTGGAGAAAGGTATGCTTTGAACTCATTGAGCTCGCTTTTAATGGTCTTAAGAGCAGTTTCCTGTAATTTCCAATTACAGTTCATGATGATAGAGAGAAATGTACTTCCCGTTTTCCAATTTGCAAATGACAGCTTTAAGTTACTGTCGTAGAGTGAAGGGGACTACTGGCAAAAAATGCGCAGGAGGAAGCTGTCCAGTGAAAGTTGAACTTTTACCGCCGGTGATCATNCTCGTCTATAGATAGGAGAAGATCATCAGTTTGATAAAAAACAATATGAATAGAGAAACAACCTACCAATGTTTGGGTGCCACACCTTTGTGGTCATGCGGACCGTTGGAGCACCGACGGGATAGCTCTGGGGCAATGATATCTTTAGGTGGAAGATTCCACCCTGGTAGGGAGTGCCAGGTGGTCCGTGGACGTAGCCCTTCAGTTGGAAGAAGTCACCCTCGCTCTCCGGCTCAATGTGGTAAAACGAGTTTGGAGAAAGGTATGTTTTGAACTCATTGAGCTCGCTTTTAATGGTCTTAAGAGCAGTTTCCTGTAATTTCCAATTACAGTTCATGATGATAGAGGAAAATGTATTTTCCGTTTTCCAATTTGCAAATGACAGCTTTAAGTTACTGTCGTAGAGTGAAGGGGACTACTGGCAAAAAATGTGCAGGAGGAAGCTGTCCAGTGAAAGTTGAACTTTTACCGCCGGTGATCATCAAAACTCCTAGCCTCAACTTTCAACAAAGAAGACGTATACTGTTTTTTGTACTATCACAAATAGATTAAAATGTTGTTTCATATTGCCCGTGTTTAATTAAAACGATTGGCAATTACATTTAATATTTATTTTTTAATGACATTGCCAATGTTGACAAATGTATCATATGGAAAATGAAGGTAGCTTTTAAATGTCAAATGATTTTAACGAAAGCATCGCTCAAAATTATTGAGAGCCAATTGAATGTTCCAGCCATTGAAGGAGAGAGCGACCAGTGCCTTTTCGTAGTCGGCGTC